AGAGGCTTGAAATCTGGGACAGCTTAAGAACTTTCAATGCCTGCCCCTAGTGACATGCTTCCTTCAGTATGGCCACACCTTCTAAAATCTACCAAAACAGCACCACCAACTGGGAACAAAATGTCTAAGCATTTGGAGCCTATAGGGGACAGTCTCATTCAAACCACCACATTCCACTCCCTGACCCCCGTAGGCTCATGGCAGCATAAAATGGATAATGCATTTAGTTCACCTTCAAAAGTCTCCATAGTCTTTACCAGACTCAATAATATTCAAAAGTTGAGAGTACAAAGTCTCTTCTGAGACTCAAGGCAATCTTTTAACTGTAAGCCCTTGTAAAATCAAAAGACAAACTACGTACTTCCAACATACAATGAAACCAAATACACATTTCCATTCCAAAAGAGCAGAATGGGGACACGCTGAGGAAATGATGGACCAAAACAAGACCAAAACCCAGCAGGGCAATCACAAAATCCAGTAGCTCTGTATCTAACTTCTGGAACTTTACTTCCAAGGGGCTTAGGTAGCTCAACCCCTCCAGCTTTGCTGTGTGCAACATACACATTTCTCAGGCTGTTCCCACTTCCTATATGCAGTTCTCCTTGGATGATGTCTCGTGACTCTGCCTTGGGGTCTCCACTGCCATCCAAGCTTCAGCTTCACAGCTTCACACAATGGCCTATCAGGGCCTTCTTTATGCAGGGATACCCCTGCTGCATGCTGCCTGGCCTCACCAGCTCTCTGAAACTATGGAGGAAGAACTGATGACCCCTTTGGCCTATTTGGTGAGGACTCTCAGCAACAGTCATCAGGATTTTGCCCTCAGGACTTTCCTATTTTCCCAAAGCCCCACCTCCTAATAGTCACATCAAGGACTGGGTTTCAGTACTGACTTTCAGGGGTCACATTGAGAACATATCAGCTGGCAAATGCCAGGTGGAGATTTGCTCCAGACTGTCCCCTTCTTTACCCAAAGGATCACTGACTACTATGTCCTTGTGCTTTATTGGAAAGTGATTTCTTAATGCATTTCTCCTGCTTATAGCTTGATGTAGGCCCCTTGTTTCATGCTGTGAAAGGTATGTGTTATGTAGGTCAGTCGAGTTCAGCTTTCTAGTGATGGGACACAGCTTTTGTTTTCTGAGAATTCCAAATCTGAAGCCAAGGGCCAGCTGTGTTTTCTCTTCCTAACGTGTATTCCTCAGCATGTCAATTATTCCTTATTGAGAAGACTGTTCCCTCTAGGATCAGAGCCAGAGACAGAGTCTGTGAGGACAGGGTGCATTAAATTCAACACAGAGCCATGCTTAATTATGATGATCTTTTACTTTAAGTTCCTGCAAGAACTACCATTATTAAGCTTGTGCTATTGTCTAAGTGTTGTGCTAGATATTAGAATGTATATTTAATAGACCTTGGACCTACTGGCTTGCACGAGGAAGAAAGGACAGACATATACACAGATTGGCAAGTCTCTGGTGAGCATTAAATACACAGGAGATTTTATACCTGTTGGCAGCAATTACACTAGGAGAAGGCACTAATGATACCAATCAGGCTTGTCTGTTGCTCCTGTTTTCTGTAGCAGAGCAGAGAACATGTGATTATTGAATTTGAAATGCCTTTGACATACTAAGAATAAGGGGTAATGTGGGGAGGTAGGATCCATGAAGATTGAAGTGTTTAAAGCAGATACTGATAGAAATAGGGAGGGAAGGGACTGGGGACAAAGAACACTGGAGTTCGGTATATGTATAATTATAAACACAAGTATACAAGTACGTATACATAGAAACAAGAGACGGGGGGCAGGCACACACTGGTTCATTTGGCAAAAATGCTACATTTGTGAAATAAAAATTTATTTCACATGAAAACTTAGGTGCTTTAAATAATACATAAAAATGAAAAACAATGAGAATCTCTGGTTAATTGATTGTCCTGTTAAATTATATAGAAAGGGACATTCTCCCATCTCAGGTGTGCTCCCTTCTGTGTAAGGTAGAATTCTCCGTGATTGGAATATGCTTGCTTCTGTCTAAGCTGAATGCTCTGCAGTTCTGTTGTGTGTAATGAGGTTGCTCGATCTGTCCATTAAGTATTTTTAAAAGCAGCAATGAGCACTTCATTTGGACAGAGAACCATGCGTTGCAAAGTGCTTTGCTGTACAGTGTCCCCTTTGATCTTAGTTTCCAGCTGGCATGTTATTGTATTTCAAGAAGCTTCTAGTCCTTCGTTCCACATATTTTGAAGGAAGACTTATATAAATGCACATTTACAGTTAACACTGACTGCCTTAATATTACCTTAGAATAAACAGAATAAACCTAAAATAAAAGAATCCCCCAAAGACTGTAAATCCATGACAAATTGAAGCAATTAAAAAAATAGTTTGATTAGAAAACTAAGATGTGGGTTTGGTAAATAAAAGAGCAATGCAAGGGTTGCAGATCAGTGACAAAATTAATTATGAATTACTCCCTGAAATTCAGATCTAAACAATCTAAGCTCTTCAGAAATGAAATGCAGAAAAATTTCAAAGCTACAAATCTTCTCTGGAAATGACAGATAAGAGGCTTATACATAAGTTTCTGTCAACCTACCCTCCCTAAATTGGCAATTTCAGTTCGTGGATCTTACTGATCTGTACACATTTGAGTTGACATACTATTGCTACATCGAAAGAAGAGGCAGAGATTCCGAAGTTAATTGTCAAAGGCTCAGATTCTTGGGTTGAAAAGCCTCTTGACATCCTAGCTTTGAATTTGGTAGATGCTGCCTGCGAGAGCACTTATTGGTGGGGAGCAATTAGCGGGACTCCTGAATGACAAAATAAGCCAAGGTGCACTTGATTCTATAGGACTGTAGAATTCTTTCCTGCTGCGCCTGAGGTCACTAACAGCCACAATCATAGCTGCTTGAGAATGTGAATAGGGAATTAGCATTTTTATACTGCTATACAATCTTTCAATTTCCTTATCTTGACAATCACTGAGAAAATTTCTTGGATACCTTGAATCTCACAGAAAATGTTTTCAACCAAATTTATCATTTAAAAAATACTTCAGCCGGGCATGGTGGCACACACCTTTAATCCCAGCACTCAGGAGGCAGTTTAATCCCAGCACTCAGGAGGCAGAGGCAGGTGGATCTCTGTGAGTTCAAGGCCAGCCTGGTCTACATAGTGAGTTCCAGGATAGCTGGGGCTACAGGGAGACCCTGTCTCAAAAAAAATGAAAAAAAAAAAAAAAGCTGCTTCAGTATTTGAAATCTATGCCTATTGGGTAGTTGGAACTGCACAGTTCAGCCTAAGCATATTTTACTGAGTCAGCATTCTGTACTGTATAGTCAAGCTGTTATTGGTAAATTGCAAACATGCTTAATTACTTAATGATGCATAATTTATAAACACAGCTGTTATAGAACATGCTTTAACAGATGAATAGGGCATTTAGAAAGTTAAGGTTGTCTTAAGTAGAATTCATTCCTTCTAATTTTCTCATTTAAACATGTGGGAAGGGCCAGCAAGATGACTCAGATGATGAAAGTGCTTCACTAAGCCTATTGACCTGAGTTCAGTCCTTGGAACCCACATGGTAGAAGGAGAGAACAGACTCCCACAAGTTGTCCTCTGACCCTCATGCAACTACTCACCCCTCCAATATATGTAATAAAAATTTAGAAAAATAAAAAATAAACAGAATTTAAATTCTAAAGTCCAAAATAAAAGATAACAATTAGTAACTTTTCTTCCACCACTGGCACATCCATGCCCTTTGCTTTATGCAATACGCATTCTAATTAGTACAAATACACATTTTCCAATTTAGGAAACAAATATTATACTT